CTGCGACTACTGGAATTCTTCACCAAATACCAATTTTATATCTTGTTCTCCGTTGCAGCCCACCCCACCTGCTGACCTGCGGGCAGCGGCTCTTCGCGCAGAGATCACCGATGCAGAGGGGCTGGGGCTTAAGCTGGAGGACAGGGAGACGGTCATCAAAGAGCTGAAAAAATCTCTCAAGATCAAGGTAAGCTGTTCTTCAGTCGATCTCTGCCTTCCTGGCTGGGCCGCAGGCTCGCCGAAGAGCTGAAGTGCTGCTGCGGTGGTCGCGTTCGTGCTCCAGGTGACTTGTTGCCTGTGGAGCTGTCTCCAGGCCCAGCCAGATCTTCTGAAAATATTATTCCAGTTGTCGGGGAGGTGCTGCCCGCCTGGTGCCTCCCTGCCACAGACCGTCCCGGCCTCTCCCCCACGACGTTCTGGGACGGCAAGTGCTGGGACGGGTGCGTGTGCCTGGGCACCGAGCATAGGTGCAGCGTGCGTAGGAGTTGGGATTTCTGGGCGGGCTCCCACCGGGCGCTGTCAGGAGCTTTTCTTAGTGCCCACCATCCCCAGGGCCCTGGAGCGCTCTGATTTCTTTCCTGCCTCTCCAGGGCGAGGAGCTCAGCGAAGCAAACGTGCGGCTCAGCCTCCTGGAGAAGAAGCTGGACAGCGCGTCTAAGGACGCAGATGACCGTGTGGAAAAGATACAGACAAAGCTGGATGAGACCCAGACGCTGCTCAAAAAGAAAGAGAAGTAAGTGTGGGCGGGGGCAGCTGTTGGAGGGTCTCTGATGGGGACTGGACAGCCGGCGGTCCCTCGGGCTTTGGGTTTGTGGGTTAGCGGAGGGGGACGTTAGCGGAGGGGGACGTCCGTGGAGGATCCACAGGGGAACCGGCACATTTTAGCGGTGCAGAGCAGAGCACAGGCTGGTAGAGGGGTGCTGGGAAGGGTCCTGTTCAAACGCTCTTGGGGAAAGGGCGTTGTCCTGGCACGTTCTTACTACCATTGCTGCGCCCCGAGCGTCTCTTGCCACAGCGTGTGGGGGTGGCGGAGCCGTGGGCAAGCGGGGAGCTGCAGCCTGCAGGGCGGAGTGGGGGCTGTCTTGCAGTGTAAAAGCTGGGCAAAACAGCTGAGGAGATCTTGGGTTCGATGTGGATAAATAATTCCTTCGTGTGCTGCGCTGCAGTCCGCAGTGGGGCCTGGTGGGGCTCCAGCTCCCGGATCAGTGGGTTTGTGCTCGAAGCGCAGCAGCAGCAGGAGCATGGCAAAGCCAGGAGCCCTCGGGTCCTGGACTGCTCGCCTCTTCCCGTCGGAGGGGTGTCTCCGGCTACACCGTGACTCTGCTCTTCCCAGGGAGTTTGAGGAGACCATGGATGCTCTTCAGGCGGACATCGACCAGCTGGAATCGGAGAAGGTGGAGCTGAAGCAGCGCTTGAACAACCAGTCAAAGCGAACCATCGAGGGCCTGCGCGGCGCCCCTGCCTCCGGAGTTGCCTCCATCGTGTCTGGCATTGCCGGAGGTGCGTACCCAGCGTCCCCAGGGCACTCCAACGCTTCCGCAGCCACTGCGGGG